TAGGGTGCACTGTCAAAACCTGACTGACTTAATTGAGAACAATGAATCAATGATATTCTTAGTTTACTTCCTTTTCAAATAAATTTGCTAATTTAATCATTTTAGACTATCCTCTACCAGTTAATTATTATAGTTAATTATATTCATTACATCTAGTATGTATGTGACTGTTTTCTTGATACAGTAGGAAGGAGTAACATAGAGACTCCAGGGTGGTCATAAAACTGTTTTTAATGCAACAATACTGTATTATACTGTATGCTAAAATGGATTAAAAATATAAAGACACATACATCTTAAAGCCCATCTTTTGCAGGTATTTCGTCTCATCTCACCTACCCGATGATTTTCACTCAATCCAAAAATCTACTATAATTATACAATTATTATAGTTTTCTCCTTCTAACTATTGAAAAAGAGACAATGGACATAAAAATGACAAGTACATACTTGCCAAGTGAACCTATTTAGGGGGTGGGGGGGGGGCAAGGGGGAACAGTCTCTATTATGGGCACAAATCATTCTATACTTCTAATATCCTACTTTTGTAAAAAGTTAATAATCTTGATGTGTCTTAATTTATACCAGAGCTCCACAACAATAATGTTCCTAGGTTGTGTCTTTAAACTGTTGTGTTTAGAAATCAGTCTGTGTAAATAAGATAGCTTGTTATTGTTCTATTTTACTTTTCTAAAATGCTATTAGTAAATAACTCACAAAATCACCTAGAAATCCCACTCACAAACCTACGATGATATTGAGTGTCCTTCTTTGTCTATTTGAAACATTAGGAGGTACATAAGTGATTTCTCCCTTGTAGTTATCCATTCCTTTTGCTCTTCCTAGGAACATAGTTCCTTCCATAGGCAGCAAATGCTGGAATATGACCACAAATTGCAGCATTCTTTAAGTAACTTCTCCTACTCTGAAGCTCACAAGGTAGATTCTGCCAGTCATTAACACTCTGGTGGGGCAGTCCTGATTTCAGGGTCCTGTCCTGCTGTTTTGATTCAGTTCCCTAGTGTTCCCCTCAGACAGCAGAACATATGCACCTGCACTAGGGCTCTGCAGTGAGAAGTGTTGAAAGTCCTGCAGTCTGGATGTCGGTCAGACAGACTCTTTCGTTCTTTCAGTGGTTTGTCCCTCCTATGATGCAAGTCATGTCACTAGCAATACCAAATATTTGAGAGTTATTTACACCACAACCCCCATATGCAATAAGGGTTCTGATAGGGTAATCTAGTAAGGGTAACAACCCTCACTATTGAGCATGAAATGCTCCAGAAAAAAACAAAAAAAACAATACTTCCTCTAAGGAAAGCAGAATGATACATATCAAAAAAGTGACAAATAATAAAACCCTTGAATGACAATGACACTCAAGTCCTATATAAGAAAAGAATCTCATCAATAACTGTCCCTTAAGCTAACAAAATGATCCAGGCTCAGCAAAGACCAAAATAAGCTCATTTTTGCCTAGGGAGTCTAAACACAACTCCTATAAATCAAACTCTATCACCAAAATCAAGTAAAGTAATAAAAATGTGTGCCCATAGAGATACTAAAAGAAACAACAAGGAACCTGACGCGTGTTTCGGCACGTAGAATTGCACCTTCATCCAGGGCAATACCCCCTTTTAGACCTTCCCACCCATCCGAACTTTGGAGGCATGAATAAACCCAGACATTTCACTACAACAGCTGCTCAATCTTGATGGTAGCAATATTCAACATACACAAAGGCTAATATCCATACAGTAGTTAAAGTGCAGCATAAGTTGTTCTAGGTAGATTTTGTTCTCATGATCTTTGTTACAAATACATTGAATAAGGAAATGATTTTTAATCTGTCCCGTGAAAATGTTTTGCTGTAGTAAAAAATACATTTTCTGAATTCTATATTCTCACAGCCTAGAACAATTACTATTAACTGTTCTCCATGTCTGAAATCATAGCACCTCAAACCATATTGCTTGGGCATCCGCAGGAGTTTTTCCAGGAGGGGGCATAATTGTAATGACATCCATGCTTGGTCCATTTTTGACAGTGTCACGAAAGGGAAGGGGCACAGTCATTATCATATAAAGACAGGGTGAATAGCATTTTCACAACTATGGTGTCAGGAATACATGTTTGTATTCCTGACACTATAGTGTTCCTTTAAGCAAACTAAAGGAACATTCTGGTCACCATAACAACTTCATCTAAATGAAAATGCTCTGATGCCAGGAATCCCCTGGGTGATCTCTTTCCTTTAACGGGTTCAACCGCTCTCAAATAGTTTAACCCCAAAGGCTTCCTCCAGCTCCAGATCGCTCAGTGGTATTCGGCTTCTGAAACGGAGTGTCAAGAAGTACAGATTGACATCAGGCATGGGTGCTACAGACATAAAGCTCTAGGACAGAACAAGGGACAAACACAGAGCATATAAGAAATGAAACTTTGGAACATATAACTAGGTAAAGGAAAAACGCACCAATCTGTTTTGTGACCTTGAAAACACTTGCAGTTAATATTCAAAGTTAAGAATCAACAAAAAGCATGAATAGGAAGTAAATGTATATTTCAACCATGGGAGTATCACTTTTAGGGCCTGCGAGCCCCACACGGTATTACATCCTGTGTGTACTATGCTCTAAAATAATGAAAACAAGATTTACAAAATATAACAAGCGCAGATACCAACCACATTTACACAACATAATGAGGGCACTACACCCTTCATAAGATCACAACACACCCGCAGAGGGACACCTTATCTTTTATAATACTTTCAGACATACGATGCAAAAATGTTATGTTTGACCCATGTTTAACTCCAGCTCAACTCATGTGGACCTGCGAGTCCAGTAAATGCAATAGTAAACGTTTCAAGTACTACCATCTTTAATAGAGACCTGCGCGTCTCACCAAATGGAAACACAATTGTTATATCTAAATACTTGTACTTGACATGCAACAAACAATAAAAAATGGATTTACTAAAAAAAAAAAACTCCAGAGAAAAACTGATTAATGCATCGTGGCATTTTGCTGCCCATGCATAACAAGCCTTACAATGATTTCTATGTTAGAGCACTGAGACCGGTGCAGCGAGGCAGAAAAGGTAAGTAAAACTTCTTTTTCTTTCTAGCCGTAGGGGGCCCAGACACCTAAATGATGACTAGGGCACCATAGTGTTAGGATTACAAATATGTATTCCTAATGCCATAGTATTCCTTTAAAATTTGAGCATAGTTTCTAAGCCAAAAATGTGAAGCTATTTTAAATTATATGAAAGCTTAATGATGAGCAAACATATTGCTCAGTTTTTGTGTAGTTATTTTGTTTTTTTTTGTGCTTTAAAAAATCCTAATGGTAATGGTTTGATCCCTTGGTTCAAAGAGCTGTACCCTATTTTCATTAGTACAGATCACCTGTACAAATCTAAACTCCCAAGGTTTAGGAGTTGCACCATAAGGTGGGAACACAAATCAATAAATAATAGAGTTGCATCATAAAAATACCAAGAACCAGGAGAAACATTGTGGCTGCTCACTCACCAAGTAGATGTTCCATATAAAATTACAAGATACCAATCCCAAGGAAAACCAATGCAGAATGAACACTATCATAGTACAGATGTGAGTTCAAGTTTATTAGGGGAAACACAACCCTATAAACCCACCACGTTTTGGCTTGAAAACGAGTAACTGGCATGTATTTAAACACAAAAGCAGTCAGATGCCCACTACCTTATGACAATTTGGGTGGTCTCAAATATCAGATTTGGAATATAATCCATAGGAATATAGAGCATGTAAATTGCATAATATAGTTAAGAATCAAAATAATAATATATATATATATATGTACAATCAAAAGGCAAATGTAAATCATGGAAAAATAATGAATGCAACAAATTGCAAATTGACCATTTTCAATTACCGGTACTACCAAAGTGGATCCACCACAGAACAGGGGAAAATACGAATAGTTTTGAAATACAAAGCCTGGATTCAGTAAATAAAGAAAAGACATTTAAATACTAGTTCAAATATGGCATATTAGAAAAATAAAATTAAAACCATTTGGCAACTTGGTATCCTTGACTCATCTCTTCTAGGTGTGTGGTTACAATGTTCCCATCTAACACATTTCTCACCACTCTAGTGAATTGATTCAATGGCAGTGACATTATAGTTTTATAAGGATGACAACTACTTAAATCCAAAAGACTGTAAGTGGGATTGGTAAAAATGTCTGTGGAAAAAAATAAACAAACACATATATAATTAAGACCATATGTGTATCAGTGTGTAACCCCTCCCTAAACAACAGGGAGAGCGCACCTATACAATAGAGTCTTAAATACCGCCAAAGAGACTCCAGGTGTCTCCACGGGGCTTAACCCCAAATAGAAAATGCCACAAGAGAATAGAACAAATGCAGGCAGGCTTAGGATGTCTAACCAATCCCAGTCTGACTGCGTTGCCTGGAAGTATTATATAGCAATGTAGCGTGCGAAAATATTAACTAGGGAATGTATCCAATCTAAACCATCTAATGAAAAAATAATAAAATAAAATCATTCCTAATAATCCTATGCTCACTAAAAGGGCATTGCACCAAAATCACAGCCATGTCTTGGCAATGTATCATATAGATATATAGAGGAAACTAAACTCCTATATACCAGCTTTAATAGAGTGCATATGCTAAATAGGAAAAAGTATACCTATATCTGTCTAATAGCCAGTGACTATCTTCTAAAGTGCAAAACCCCACAGATGCCTTGTATCCATATATGTATAATGTAAACAACCATAGAGTGAGTGTCTGCTGATAATATATGCCCATGCAAAATTAGTTTGTATTGAGTCCAGCCATATGTAGACCAAAAAATTTTTACATTTTTTTTTAAAAAAAACAGCAGACCTTACCAATATACATAAAAAGGTTTATAGTAGTCAACAATAGAGAGAGACTTCGATATAGATATCAAATAGAAAAAAGTTTGTAGAGACTAATGGTCAGTCAAAAGCAAACTGCCATATATATTTAAGTTATCAAAGCCTCTCTCCCTGGTAAACTAGCTAGACAGGCATAGGAATATTTAGAAGGTAGAGCAAGAAAAAGATATTAAGTGCAATTCATAGTGCTAAAGTGCCATTCAGTGCCCAGTGTAGAAATTGGCAAAACGCCCAACGCGCGTTTCGGTGCTTAGAGAGTGCACCTTGTCAGGGGCCCCTACCTTCTAAATATTCCTATGCCTGTCTAGCTAGTTTACCAGGGAGAGAGGCTTTGATAACTTAAATATATATGGCAGTTTGCTTTTGACTGACCATTAGTCTCTACAAACTTTTTTCTATTTGATATCTATATCGAAGTCTCTCTCTATTGTTGACTACTATAAACCTTTTTATGTATATTGGTAAGGTCTGCTGTTTTAAAAAAAAAAATGTAAAAATTTTTTGGTCTACATATGGCTGGACTCAATACAAACTAATTTTGCATGGGCATATATTATCAGCAGACACTCACTCTATGGTTGTTTACAATATACATATATGGATACAAGGCATCTGTGGGGTTTTGCACTTTAGAAGATAGTCACTGGCTATTAGACAGACATAGGTATACTTTTTCCTATTTAGCATATGCACTCTATTAAAGCTGGTATATAGGAGTTTAGTTTCCTCTATATATCTATATGATACATTGCCAAGACTTGGCTGTGATTTTGGTGCAATCCCCTTTTAGTGAGCATAGGATTATTAGGAATGATTTTATTTTATTATTTTTTCATTAGATGTTTTAGATTGGATACATTCCCTAGTTAATATTTTCACACGCTACATTGCTATATAATACTTCCAGGCAACGCAGTCAGACTGGGATTGGTTAGACATCCTAAGCCTGCCTGCATTTGTTCTATTCTCTTGTGGAAAAAAATAATACCCACACACCACTACTTCACACACATAGTTTATGTCTCTAGGGAAAGCATATAATTCCTCCTCAGTACCACACTAGACACGAAGGATGTCAAGTACAAATCTCCTCCAGATACCTATACATATCTAGAATTTGTCATGAGTATACATATGACAAGTTTCAAAATGACTCTAGAAGAGGTTGGTATATGAAGGTTGCCATTATTAGACCCCCAAACTGTTTATAGTAAGTGTCACCAAAGATAAATATATGTTATGAAGCAACAACTCTATAACATACATAAAATTCAATAAGAGAATGTGTGTAAATATTTGTGATTAAACCAATCGCCTCCAAGCTTCATTAGGAATAGAAGTGTACAAGCTTACGCTATCCCAAGAGAACTGTAAGCAATGTTCTTACATGATAAGGTTGGGCAATTTACATAGAACATCACTTCTGTCAAGAATGTTTGACTTAGTCTGGAAACAAAAGGTTGCAAAATCTTATCCAGGAAGATCAAAAATCAATCTCGTCATTCTAACTAAAAAAGGAACTTTTTCTTTAGTATTTACAAATAAAACTGTCATGATTACTGATCTGCAGATGCACTGTGCAGCACTTCCGGGTTTACCGATCAGGCCCCTCCTATGCTTCTGATGTCACCCTCACCTGTGTTAAAATGAACTGCAGGTAATCTCAAATTGTTAAATCTATTTGTTTACACTTGGCTTTGAGATACATACTGGCTGTGTGAGAGCTCCCCTGAATACTATTTTGTGTACCGAAACCTGGCTAATGGAAACCGACCTTGCAGACCTCTCTAACCCTGATTAATGGACCGGACTCATTACTACTCCTTATGTCAACTCCCAAGAGATAAGTTAAAGCTAATTCTATTTACCTAATAACAAGAACTCTCAAGCTTACCTGAAGCAAGAAGCTTGCTCTTGTTTTACCCCAATTGCTGTCAGCTAAAATTATCCTGCTTTCTATTTGGCTTTACTTGGAAAACCACCTTAATTGCAAATATCCTGCATGCTTATTTTTTACTTAAATTATTATCTTTCGGAAAAGGATTACAAAGGAAAAGAACTGATTTTTTTTTTTTTTATTCAATTAAACTGGAAGGTCTCTTGCAAGACTTTAACAAAGTAAGTTTCTCTTTTTTTTTTCTTAAAGAGACATCCCTTCCTTAATTTTACTGCAATTGTTTTCCATGAAAATGAATTCCTGAGTATTACAGAACCGCTCCTCCCAGTGAGTTAATAGTAGTTGATGAAACCTGCTGGTTGGAAGTTTCAGACTCTGATCCAGATTCCTATCAAGATGTTATGTCCACAGCACTGCTCCTCCTTTATTTTTTTTCAACGTATGGCTGCATTATAGGAAATACTGATGTTCTCCACTTGTGAAGCATCTATGGACTCACTCTATAGTTTGTGTGATCCACATTGGCTTTCTCCAATTTCTGATGTTTAAAGACTAGCAAGTTCATAGTATATGTTTTCAGATCCTCAGGATTAAGAAAATTCTCCATGCACCATAATCACTACAGTGGTTAAAATGCCATGTTGCTCTCCTCTACATTTAAGTAGTCAAACCATTTTAAGATGGATTGACTTCTTACTTGGCTCCTCCAGTGCCACTCCCCACCTCCCCTACATCAGCCAGAGAGCCAGAAACTCCTGCTTAGGATATGCTCATTGGCTGAGAGTTTCAATTACTTACTCACAAAAAATGAGCTAGACCCTGCATTACTGAGCTTAGCCTATACAGAGAGCTAGAACTCTTTGGCTGATGCAGTGAAGCCAAAAATCAGCAGGCCAAAGTTAAGAAATTGAATAGTGATAAAAGAGTTTGACTACTTAGAATTGGTGGCGTCAAGGAACTCCTGGCACCATTACCACTGCAATGCGTTATCGTAGTTTTGAGTGCTTGGAGTGTTTTTGTTTTCTTTTTTAAATCTTCATAACTTAGTCTTTATATAAAATTCATTTTAGTATTAACTAATATATATATATATATATATATATATATATATATATATATATATATTCGTATTTTAGTTTTTTATTTAAACCTTTTTTTATTTCTCTGTTTTAACTGTTGAATGCAGGTATATCGGACCCGATAAAGCAAGACTAGCATACAGATTCGAGCATAACTGCAACCTTTATTATTATATTATGGTAGGCAATATTCGTATAAATAAAACGAAAAACACACACACACACACAATAACCACAGACAATGTTTAATTACTTTTCAATGGGCTTGGCCGTGGTGTTTATTCAAAGCTCAAGGGGCATACAACTATAACTTAGTAACCATATAACATATGGTTCACCAACTTTCAAAACGTTTATCTTTATTAACCACCAAATAGCCAGTCAGTCATAACTAACCTGACTGCGTTTTACTTAAAACTTTCAACTTTATTGCCAGTCAGTCATAACTAACCTGACCGCCTTTTATTTAAAACCATTTACCACCATATCCTTCCTCAGAACTTGACCCTGAGGATGACTTTTGCTCCAATGCTTCCTAACACCACGACAATACAATTAAATAAAAGTAAAGGGAGGGGTGGTGGGGTCCATCCGCGCCATTCCTGCTTCAGTCCACTCTGACAGGATTAAACTTGTGCTGCTTCTTTTTATACTGTTCCAGTTTCCCGCTCTTTTTCTGCTTGCAACTTTCAACCAATCCCAGGCCAGCTCCAGCCCCCAGAAACAGCTGTGTCATCAATTCTGCCCAGATACCTGTCTAACTGACCAACTACCACAAGATGTAAAATTCCTCATATTCAAATCCTAGACAAAACAGATTAACTACTTCATTGCCACCATACACATATGCCACAATGCTTAGTGCCTGTGGCTATTATTATTATTATTATTATTATTATTATTTATTTATTATTTATGTCTTCATTATATAAGCTGACAATTGTTAGTGAGAAAAGCAAAGACACAAAATCAATACCAAGAAAGTCTTCACAACGTACAAAGGTTTCCAAAAATATAATTGCTATATATATATATATATATATAGATATATATATATATATATATATATATATATATATATATATATATATATATATATATATATATATATATATATATATATATATATCTATATATATATATATATATATAAAGAATAATAAATGGCTAGATCTGACATTGCCAGCTCACTTATGTTGTAATAAATGTGCATGCCCAGCTGCCTTAAGCTGTTTCTAGTCTCAGAGGTGCCTTTTCAAAAAGACTAGATTGAAATTCATTGCTGTTACAGAGTCTTTGTATAGGAAAAGATGACTAAGAAGAAAATACTCTTCTTTTAGCCCAGTATATTACAAAAATATGTCAAATTCAAAGATTTTCAGTCTTTGTAGTCCATAACTGTGACCCATCTAGTACAAGCCATAGATTACTAGTGGAACCATTTGTTCCATGCTGTTACAATAAAATTATCAAAATTCATTTTAGTATGACAAAATGTGGATTTCAAGCTAGAAATTTATTTCTGTTATGTAACTAACAGACTGCATTTATCTGATGACACCGGAAAAATTATATTAAAAACTGTTATTGGGATTATTAATTTAAGGGGTACTACTATAAGCATCATAACATATACAGTCTGCCGTGGTGGTTATGATGTGAGAGGTCTACTGCCACTGCTCCCAGCAATTGTGAAAACCCTTTTGCAATGGTATGTCTTACTATCCTACCAGATACCGAAGATCCTGCCCTGCCATTCGACGTGCATTTGACTTCTGCATAGCTGCAGAAACTGGATGCCGATGCTGTAGCCGACTCATTGACTCATTGACTCTCTGCCAGTGAATGTGCATAGAAATATTCATAGAATTTACATTAGCCTTCCTGGACTACTTCTTCTCGGCTCGTTAATGGCTCACCAAAAAATCTTCTGGAGTTGGAGTTACACTGGTGCAGTGGTTCAATGCGATGCACTGCACATACAGTACAGACTCCAAATACTATGACCACCTCAAAACAATGACATGGTCTTCCTGCTTGGAGTAATACTTTAACATCTGATTCAGGTCAAGATAGTCAATGGGTACATAAATATATCAGTAATGAGAAATTAAGTTATCAATAATTCATTTTTTTGTGTATCTTCATTTTTATTCCTATACTCTTGAATCTCATTGAGCATTTAGTTTAGAGATTATATATTTAGTCCACCTTCCAAGCATGGCTATGTTTCTTTCTATCCATCTTGGGTTATTAACTAAATTGGGAGCTGGGAAAGAATTTACCACTTGACATCCAATCTTATGTCAAATTGAGTGAGCCAAAGTGTTAATTGACCAAATTCTAAATGAATAAAACATTTTCAAAATGGCAAAACTGAACAAATTTGACAAGTCATTTGTATA